ATTGTACTTATCCAGTCGTGTTGTGTTCCATGAAACTCGGGCTTAGAATGTCATAAATCTCCTAGTCTTCAGGATGGCCATTACTATCACCATTCAAACTTGCAATATTTACTGTTTTAACATTTAAAGAGGCTAGAAATGTATGAAAACGCTAAGAACAGCTATTATTCCTGAAACATTTGGAAACACCACAGCTTCCTGTCATTTTTCATACTTTTAAATACAAAAAACAGATAATACGCCGTCTTATTTCATGCTTGACTTCTGTCCGACTTCCCTGATAATACATATGACTGAGTATTTAGATTATTGACATATCTGCTGAATGAGTTTCCTCTTAAATAAACATCCTATGTGCACAACAAGCGAAACCCGATAAGATTATGAGCTATAGTTTGTACTCAAAACGTCATCAGTTAATATTACTGTATAACACTCTATGACTTATCAAAATAAAATCTTATCCATAATGGAGTTATACTCTATTACAGTGCCCAAGTTTCATACTTATATCAAAACCCGAAAGTTATTATCATTATTATCGCTATTTCAAACAAGAGTGTGTGATGTTTAGAGTTGCTTTATACGGAAAAGACTTTCCCTAATTCATATTTGTTTATATGAATACAATTACTGGACCCTAAACGCATCAACATATATATATGTATATATATTTATATATAAGCACTTGAATCTTTATTCACACGCATAAACTGAAAAAAGAAATCTGAGTAGTGAAACAACTACCATAAATGACAGAATTGATGAATGCATACTTCCGTTTCTACATCTTGGTAACTATTAAATCAAAGTTATTTTAAGAAATGCAAAATAAAGTGTTTTTGGTATACCTTCATAAAGAAAAGAAATATTGACATAATATTTGTGAATATTAATTACGCCAGGTTAAACTAATTCAAGTGCCCTGTTTAATATTATTATTATTGTTTTCAGTGATCTTTACGCTTTCTAGTAATTTTCTTAAATAGCCATTGATGACTTAATGATCAACATGAGCAGGTAATTTCAGTATAACTTGTTAGCTGGAAGGCAGTTGAATATAAGACAGAATATATGATCCAATGCTGATCAGTGTTTAGTTGTGTAAAGTGACATTTATGGCAGTTACTTCGAGTTTGCAGATATGCCATGGTGACCAATGAAAATAAGCATCAGACCTTAGTCCAAAGTACCCTGATGACTGCCCTAAATCATCAAAAATTAACAGGTATATATATATATATATAGGATTGAAGGCTCTTTGTATTTTCTATCGTTCACACTGGAATGTGAACACACTGACGCGCAGACATATTTTGATGATGAGTTCCACAGCTAGCTGTCATCAACTAGAGTGTACTAATGAAAGGGAATCAGGAATTTCTTTGTTGTAGCCTGCTGAGGCCTTGTAAAGGTAGGGGTTCAACCGGGACAAAGTTTGTCTCCTGTATCCCATATATGACCTTGCTCGAAATGGAGTTAGTAATGGTCTGAATAATTTAGTCGTATAGTACTTAATTTTAGAATAAAATGACCTGGATTTAAATTAAGTTAACTAATGATTAGAAAATGGAGTAGGACTTTTCAAACCCTAGTAACTGGCAACATGTTCTAGAACAATTTAACACATTTCGTCAAGTATTAAGTATGCTATACGTTTTTACTACAAAACAATTCTGGATCATAACAAATAAACCATGAAGTGATACTGTCATATTTTCATATTATATATTAGTCTGCATAATTAAAAACAGTTTTCAGTTTAGTAAAATAGGAAATGAACAATTGACTTGTGTGCACGGAATTCAGGAAATGGATTTACTTTCTGTTCTTTGCGTTCTGAGTGAAATACAGAGTTTCAGCTTTTGAAGCTTCTGTAGCGACAGTGTTGTTTCTTAGTGCGTGGGGCTGATAACCTCATGTCTAAGCTTCCCTTATTTCGGGGGTTACCAATGGCTAAGTGACCAGTGGAAGTAATCGATTAGCTTACAGAATCAAACAATAATGTCTGACGGTGCGACGTAACTTAGTTTTGATGTAACCACTTTTGTTGAGATGGCTCATGTAGGAGGGAAGTCTATCACCACTGGGAATCAGAAGACAGGAATATGTTGGACCGAAAAGAAGACTCTAGAATATTCGGACTTTGAGGATGACCTATGATTGATGACACTCAAAGTCCAAGGTATACAGGTGAAAACCAACAAGTTGGTGAAAAAAGGCGGTGAAGACATCACTACAAGTGAATGTGGAGAAAGCAGAGGTGATGAAGATACCTAACCAACAACAACAAACACCAATCACTATCAGTGGGAGAAATTTAAGAGAAAATCACGTCTTTCACTTATCTAGGCAACACCGTTTCAACTACTGCGGCACAGATGGCGATGTCAAGGCCAGGGTAGAAAGGGCAAGACGGTCCCTCATGACTATGAAATGAGTGAGGAAAACTTCTGCACGAAGCACGAAAATCAAGATGCAGTTTCCCAGAATTAATATCAAGCCACTGTATCATATCGCGCGCTGGGACCTGCTGTAGAATCCGAATGGGGAATGACCAGTTGGGAGTGTGCCAGAAGGCAAAATGAGGTAGAGGGTGTGAGGAGGAGATGAGAGCTAGTGGTTAGTCGCGCAGTCAGCTAAACAGGACTGAATAGAACAAAGTTAAATGGAGATATGCTGTTGAAACCCAATGTATTATAATCGGCGAAAATGGTTTTCAGATGTCCAAATATACTGACACCATTTCTTCTGGTGATAAATATCACTGTTCGATTGCAAGTGAGCGTATTTATGTGAGTTACTGTTAACTGCTGTTATTTGTCATGTCTGCAGATAATTTACATGCTCTGTGTAAAAGCAGTTAACTGACTCACCGCTTATTTGACTTCAAATTGGTTTTTCAATCTTTCGTTGAAGGCTGTAACAACTTTAATAGTCTCGCTAAAAGCGTGTAACTAGAAAATATTAACTTCTTGGTTTATGGTTGTTTTAGACATTGTCTCACCTATTATTTCCTTCTTTACAGGTTTCTGTCATAGAGTGACATCATACACAAGGACGTTGAACTGAATCCGAATTGTTAGCGATGGTAATATGAAGGAGATTCTATGAGGAGAGAATGAAAGATTGTGGGAAATCATGGAGCTAGCCAGATAGATTGCAGAAAACAGAGTAAAGTGGCGATGTTTGCTGAAGCCTAATGTTGTACGAGAAACCCAAGGGACGAATGTTAATAAAAATTAGGGATCTTTAGGTTTCTCAGTTTTCCAACATTGTCTTTTCCCCTTCATTTGATTTTTGTGCTTGAGTCCTGTTAAAGTGTGAAGATCTGACGTCTCCATTTCCAATCTTGAAAGTTACCTCAGATTTGAACCTTAAAATTTCTGTTCTGTAAGACTCTAGCAGAGAACCGAACTCAATGGAGACGCACGGCTGAAGCCCTATGTTCCTCTAGGAATTAAAGGATACAATAATAATAATAATATGACTTTCACTGAAAGTAGCGAACAGTCCTGTCGTACTTACACTCAGTATGATTGTTTCTATACAAAGTAATGTGAATACAAAGAAAATTACGCAAAAATATATGACGAAGTTATAGCTGGGCGTGAAAATATAAAAGGAAATACACATGGGTAACCTGGAATAAAAGACGTTATGAATTATACCCACGCATCTATTTTTAAGTATGCAAGCAGACGGGAAAAGGCGAATCCGCTGACTGAGAACTTCCATAGATTTAGAGAGAAAACATAATGTCTGTTTTTGTTTATTCACTCCTTGAGCACATTATATATATATATATATATACGTCTTGTGTTCATTGAATATATAAAAATTTCTAAACGACCGAAAAATAAATTGACTTTACTCTCATAGTGTGTAAAGCAATTTTTGTTAACTATACATCTGGCTCCTGAAGCATGCATAAAAGTGTCAATAGAATTCATAATCAAAAAAGGTTATGTCGCTTGTAATGCAACATGTTAACGACGATTAATACAGGACTTTCATAGTACTGTCACATTCCCAATTTTTCTGTATCTCTTTTAAGTGCATAATACTGAGATAATCGACAATCTCGATAAGTAGAGTCTTACAATAGGGGGCCTTATATTTTTCTCAATCTAAGAATAATGGCTGTTAGGTCACGCCCTTCATGAAGACGATAATAATGACAACAGGTTCTCCAACGTTGATGACAACAATATTCACCATGTCATGTTATCCCAGGCAGTCGTTAGCTAACCTTACTTGGCATGGATTTATGCATTTAGTCAATTGGTAGAGGAAAAAAAAACAAAAACAAGAATAAGGTCAATAATTGTCTGTTTCTAGAAACAATGAAGCGGTGTCAACTAGTCGTATATGTGGGTAGTAAACTATTCCAGCTGACATAATGGGAAACCTAATGTGAAACACTGGTTACATTTTACTTATCAGAGGTGACCAGTATCACTGTTTTAGCCTGTTTAAGGTAGAAGTATGCAGTGAATAAGTTGAGAAGACTTCGTGAGCGAGTTACATGAATTTTTGGATCTATGGACAAATACTTTTGTAGAATCATAAAACAGTATATATATATATATATATATATATATATATATATATATAGAAGATAACGTTTCATTACAAACATTTGAAAATTATAACATATAACCAAAAAATAAAAATAATTAATGCTTGAAAAAGCTTTACTCATTTTATTGGTATAATTTGATTTGAAAAGGATTAAAACATACAACACAAACACATACATACAGAGATAAATAGATAGATGGGAAAAAACTTCGAGTTTCCCAGTAGTATTAGCATTAGTTGTAGCATTCATAATCACAAAATGAAGATATAAATAATAAATCAGTATTAACCAATGAAAATTAAATTTTACCCAGTCTATTTTGTTTAGGCCAACGTGAATGGCTCAGAGTGTATATTGTTGTTTGTGTTGTTGTGGTTATTTTTGTTGTTTAAATGTATGTACTCACATTTATCAACTCAATAAAGCTTATATACGTACATATGCGTGAATAAATATACGCATAGACAGAACTTCACGTTACCTTCAAATCAAATTATAACATGCCACAGAAATTATCTACTTGGGATTAAACACACAGAATTACAGTCATTCTCCTCCTTCTTTATCTCGACGTTTTGGTTATTTTTGTTGCTGTCGTCAGCTTCAATGCTGTAACTGTCAGCAGTCGTTGTAGATTATTGTGAGGATCTCGACTATACGATTTGAAGAGAATAAAATAAAGGGAGGCTGAATTCAGCGTGCTGATATACGTACATACCGTGTTTTTTCATCTATCTGGTTAAATATAAGTGATTTGATAGAACTACACATACAGATAAGTGCATACATTTAATTATTCAAATAAGGCCCATCCCTCATATGACTACTATTCACAACTAACTAAACACTCTTCCGTTCATTAATCCCAATGATAGATAAATATATAAAGATATACAATCATGAATTCAATATGGATAAGTTTTCGCTCGAAAAATAATTTCATCTCACTGCCTATACTACTTTTAATACTGTCAAGTAAACAGTGTTCAGTGAACCACATTCTTTTTAATAACACACCTCAATAGTTTATAGACAAACTGATTTCAGCTTTACTTGATTTGTAAAACACACACACACAAACACAAACAGAAAGGAGAACACAAAAACCTTTTGTTCATTCTGCATCGAAGCAAAAACAAAAACGCATTTGGTCAATTTTCATATAGGTAAGTTTCATGAGTTATCTTTTTATTAAAAGAAAGAAACATTGAAATTTATGATAAAAAGAATGAACTACTTTAGGCTGCTTTGAACATTTTCCAGTAATTTCATTTTTGTTATACACCAAGCAACCTATTAAAAGTTTAAAAGTGGTTGAATCAACTTTAACTATAAAAGTAACATGTGAAGACCAGAAACCTGCATGCCCCTTTGAATCTTCAATGGACAAGGTCTTTTTATCCCTAGGAGAAAGTTGGTAATGTGCGGAGATATTTTAAAAAAAAAGACTGACTAGTGAATAGATTACATTCTTTCTGATAACTTCTTCATCAGCTTCTACAGTTAAATGTCCAAAATGATTAAAGAATTATTAGTATCAACAACATTAATGTTTAAATAACATCGAATCATTAATGTCAATAGATTACAGTTCGAAAGCTTCTGTAAGCGATAATACGCATCGATATAACACTAAACTGTATATCAAATAAATTAAGAGAAATAATAAAAAAATTTTGATTTTATAAGTTTCACAGAATATCAAGGTAGCAATGGTGGATTGATCTGTTTCTTTTACACTCAGTTTTCCGGTTGTTTTATGTGAACTGCAGTGACCTCTACTGTTTGGAGTATGCCTTATCTAGATGCCTTTTGGTGAATTATTCGTTACCAAATAGATGGTAGGAAGAGATTCTTCAGGGGCGGCCTTAAGGTCTATTGAGACCATGTGATCTAATATTGGGCCGTCCATTGCTTTTATGAAATTTCTATTTTAGTCACGATGGTAGTTGTTTCCCAAGACGGAAAACTAAGTTCAAATTTCACAAAAGTAATACCGTAATATCCATAATAAGTAACAGAATAGTAACTTATTTCAACAATGAATTTCACTGCTGTCTGATTAATATCCTCCTTCATCGTGTTATGAACAGTAGTCATAGACTTTGGGTTGTAACTGTGCAGATTCATTTAGATAACACTTCTTTCGAAAGAGGAATTTATTGCATTCCCTGCAACTACTAAGTAGCTTAAAATTCACCATTAAGAAGAAGGGGGTGTTTAGTGAAAAGTTACTCTTTTGAGTAATATCATTCTCAAACTATACAACCACATATTTTTTATATATTTTTATTTCTTCACTTTCCCCAGTGAAACATAGGGCTTCAAGCTAGAAGCTTGAAGTTTCTGTAGCAGTGTTTATTTTTACAGGATGGGGTCGCTAGCCTCATGCCCAACCTTTCCTCTTTACCAGCTTTTATTTCTGGCTTAGCGAGGTAGAGGAGTGCGTCGGCCGGGAATCGAACCCCGGACCATGTGCGTGGTTGGCGAGCGTCCCAACCGCTATGCCACCGACGCACATACAATCACATATACATGCAGTAAAAAAGGAATGTCTCAAAAAGGTGTCATTTAAATTGTAAGTTATAGATAACAGTTACATAATGCAAAAAATATTAATCGGGTAGAAACTGAAATGGAATTGAATCAGTAAATCAGGTAACGTAATATAACATAATTGATATGACTGAGTGGAGGAAAATAAAAATTATTTGTCAATTTAAGATCAGTATCATGAATAGGGGAAATTTAGTAATGAGGAGGCAGAAGCCACAGAAATCCACACATTGAATTCTGAACTCCGAATATAATGAAGCAGAGCCTGGAAAACAGTCCATTATTCATATCATCACAACTAGTCTTTGACAGGGCTATGAAAAATAGACTGTATTTACATCATCATCCGGTAGGTAATGTCGCTTTTAAGTGTTGTACCTTGTCCACCAGTTTTGACCTTCATCGGTATGTCTGTTCATCTATCTTTCCGTCTGTCGGTCTCTGCATCTGTTTTCCTTATCACTTCTTTGCATGTAACACTATAGTACTTGACGAAAGAAGTCAACAAACTGAAAAGTAACTATTCCAATAATCACTGCATTCAAGTGGTGTGAATTCTCGTGTTTGTTTCCACACATACAATTGTCTCTCTGCTAAACAGGACTCAAAATGAAAAGTGACGTGACACGATATCGCTCAGTACTGCCGCATAAACAACCCAACCCTTTTTACAGGAAGTCATATTTTTAATTTCTTTTTATTCCCCGAGACCTCTATGTTTTTCTTTCTTTGATATTCTTTTTGACTTTATTCATAACTCCATGGTTGATTATGTGTCTCTGTGATTGTGAGTGCTTCTCACAATCATAGCTAATGAAACGAAATGTGTCTGCTAATCACTGATTGTAGTTAGAACTAGGAACTTGATGACTTTTTCACGGCTAAACATATCTACAGCATAGCGGTATGTTTGATAGCCACTGGAAGTGAGAAACAGCTGCGAAGTGGAAGCAGTTTAATGAATTCGCCTAACTTTCCATAACAACATTTGTCAGTTAATTATTATATAATGCCAATTCCTAATTCTAACACACACATACACACATGAACATGACGACAACAAATAATTATTCAGTTCAATAAGTGTGTGATCGATAAGAGGTGAGCATTAATTAGCCAACGTAATTAAGCAGAAAAAGCAAAAGTGATGATATCTGAGAAAAGGATGCATTAACACACAGATTTGAGTTGCCATGGTTAGAAACAATAGGTAATTATGAACATTTAAACTGCAAAACTACTGATTTTCCAAAGCAATTTTATCAACTTTGAATAACTAAACCAAAGTGGAGGATAACGGTAACAAGGTTTTTAACGTGCCTGAGTTAATCTGAGGAAAATCAATGAATTTAAAACACCTACAATCATTAATATGAAAACCCAACTTTAATTTTTAGTTTCAAGACATTTTGAATATATTGGAAACACTAAACATACCATAGAAGGTATAGGCTGTATACACAAAGATCTAGATTTTCCAGTCGATTTGCACAGGCTTCAGTAAACACAACAATATCACCAGAGTTTATTTCAAATAAGAAGCTGACATGTAAGACAGGATTCAAGTAATCAATCCTTAAATATATTTCCTTTAAGTATATCGTTCTACTGACGGTATTACACATATCGTTGAGTGTCATTAAAACACAGGACTATTAGTAAACTGGGCTTCAGATACATTCTAATGTATATTTAGTAATCTAAGTGACATCTCACATCACACCAAGCCTACACTGCTTAAAATTTGAACATACAATAATATCAAGTTATTAGAACTGACAGTTAAATTACAGATCATGATTCTTTATGAATTCAATTACAAATAAAGTCAATTTCTTTCTGAAATTTGTCGTTAAAGCATGTATTCTGCCTATTGAAAAATAAGGCTTTTATCGTGAAATGAAATCAACTACAGACCAAGGAAACATAAGCCCCGCTCATCTCAACAACTGTTTTTTATTCCTAGTTCTGAACTTTTCGACAGTTCCCTATTCATAACCTGACAACAGACAGAATACTGGTACGTTAATTTTTGAAAAGATTCAGTAGGTAGGAAGGAGTCCAAGATTCCCAACTTTTTTGTGTTTTTCATGAAGACTGTGTTAATATAAATGTAAATTTCTAGAATTAATGCATGAAAACTTTGTCGCCGAACAAGTACTGCTCTGATCTGAGCTGCTGCTGGAGCAGCTAATTGCGATCCTGATGAGGAGAGTGAGCAAACAACTAATACTACTTTTCAACTCAAATGGGATTCACTCTTACTTGCTATCGTAAGTGTCATAGAAACCAGTAAGTTGTTCAGAGATGATCATTGAAAAGCCTCCAGTCAAAAAATGAAAGAGGCTCACTAAGTTATCAGCAAAAATGTAGAGTCCTCACCAGTGGAACCATACACATATATCTGAAATACATTTAGCATCTGTGCGGAGAACAGTGATTCTGTGAAGTTTAACAATTCTGATCAGTTTATTAATTTGTCTTCAAAATGTCAACAGATTTCTCAGTTCCACTTTCTAGATATCCGTCTATGAATAGGAATAAACAAATACCTTCAATGACAGCATATTCAGGGAAATACACTTTCAGCAGGTACACTGCTGATACGGTGGATATATATATTTATATATTCCTAGCACTTGTGGGCCATATCTTCTCATTTCTTTGGCAACCTGAGCAGCCTTCCCATCCTTGCACACTGTGTGAACATTTCACGTCCACATTGTCATTTTGGCTTTTATAGAAAGAAGACACATCGCCTGAATAGTTTCCCAGAGGCTTTCACCAGCCCGCATCCTTCCATCTCTATGATTCCAGCAAAGAATAAGCTCCTTTTTTTACACTTTTATTGTGCTTTGAAGTTCCTGTAGCAAGTGAATTGATTTTCTGAGGTGGGATCGCTAGCCCCACGCCCAACCTTCCTTCTTTTCCTGGGCTTAGGACCAACTAAGGAACTAGTGGACTAGTAAACTAGGCGAGATCATGTAGGTGGAAACCTGGAAGCATTCATTTGAATAGTCTACTGACCTAGCCAATTCTCTACCTATAAATGAATGCTATAGAATACTGGCGAATATTTAATGATGCATTCATGTGGAATTATAACTAAATCTATTCAAATCTTATTGGGTAAAGGCGTACTGACCTTGAGAAAATGTTTAAACACTTAAATATGAGTTTAAGTAAATAGTATCAAATTTTATGGACACAACTGTTTCAACTTTCCTAACGGGCTTGTTGAAAGAATTTTCAGTTAAGCTAGTGTTTAAAGTTCACTGTTATTTTGAAATTCAACACCTAAATTGACGTTGGAAGCGACAGGTTTCCCCTTTTTAATAATTCAATTACATCTACAAAACAAGAAATCATAAGGCCAAATTAAAATCGCCTTAAAACAGAATTTCACAGTCACATAAATACACTTCCTTTCAATCAAAAAGAACTTTTTATGCTCTAGTTAACTGCTAATTCCCAGTAATATTTTGAAGTTAACTGCCTACCATTCGAAAATTGTTTTTATTCTGATCCATTTAATTCCACTTATTTTAAAATAGTGGCAGTTTTTTGTTTGCAATTTTATTTATATCCTATGCTGGCTGTTTTATGATGA